TGCTGAACTAGTGGAAATTCCCCAAGCCTGCCAGGAGCTTTCTGTATGCTGAGACTTTATCTGTGCCCTTTCTTTTCCCTGGACACCGTTCCCAGCTTCTCCACCTGGTGTGTTCCTACTCATCTTTCAAGGCTCAGCTTAGATGTCCCCACTTCTAGGATGCCTCTCTTGACCCGGTTCAGGACCTCCTAATTCTCCCCTTGATTAGCGCACCAGCCTCCTGCCTGAGCTCTTGGCCTCCAGCTTCCCTTTACCACTCAAAGCCCCCATGGTGCAGCCAGCAGCCTTTCTAAAACACAAATCTTGTCATGTCACTCCACTTAAAATAACCAGTCAATGGAATTATCCATCAATCAATGCTTCAAGGGCTTCTCCTTGCCCTCAGGAAGATATCCAAAGCCTTCTGCTGGAACTCAAGGCTTAGTCCCCAGTGGTGTCTCCAGCCTCAGCTCTCCTGTCTCTCCTGATTGCCCCACCCAGCACAGTACACCCCTGCCACATTGCTCTTGTGTCATATCTCAGACGCACCTTGCTCTCTCATGTCTCCCTATCTTTGTGCATCCCAGTGTTTCTCATGCCCAATCCCTTCATCTTACCTGGGGACTTCCTGCCTAATCTCCTAAACCAGCTCTGATCTAACCTGTTCTGGAAGACTTTCCTGATGGCCCCAGGAAGAGTTTGTGGCTTCCTCTTCTTTATTCCCTATATGACTACTCATGCTTTTGTCACTGTGTGTCAGCTTGTCTGCTTACACTAGGAGTTTGCTGTATCTGACACGTGACTGTGTCCCCAGCAGTGCCAGCACAGGTGCATAGAGCAGCCATGTAGGATTTGTTGGTCGGGTGGGTGGTTGAACAAACAAATGAATGAATGAATGGTGAATGAATCCATCCTTGAACCATCACTTCTTGGTCAGCCCCAGAACTACTGTTTCCCAGGGTAAGCCCATTTTATAGCAAAAGGGGCAGCAGGGGAAGGGACTGCTCTAGAAGGGAGAAAGAAAATCAATAAAAATGTAAATCTAGTTGAGAAAAGCTGTCCCAGGCTGGCTGTGGGGAGAGATAAGGCTGGGCAGGCTGAGCCCTGGCTGACAGTGGAAGAGAGATTAGGGGACAAACAGAGCTGCAGCCAGGGCAGTGTGTCTCCCTCCTTGGTGGCTCCTCCCTCTGTCTTCACCTCGATCCTGCCCCCATGTTCTATGTGTGCCTTAAATTCTTTCAGGGACAGGAGAAGGAAACGTACAAATATTGGTCATCAGGTGCACTGCCTGTATGTTATTATTTGGTTTTCACAACTTTTGGGAGACAGGAAAGAGGAAGGATCAGCCTCACAAGTGAAGAAACAGATGCAGAGAAGTTAAATCACTTGTTCAGGGTCACATTGTGAGTAAGTGGCAGTCAGGATTTGAACCCAAAGCTCACTGACTCTAAAACTGTTCTTTTCACTCCACTCCACCAGAGGTCTACAGCCAGACTTCAGATGGTCCCCAGCCTCTGAAATCAGATGCACAAGTGTTTATATGACTGTGTGCAATTTTAATGGAGATGTATCTTTTTATCAGTGTCTTTAAGGTGGTTGTCATCCACCCTCCATTACCTCTACCAGGCTTTCTCTGTAGAGGTGGTGGCCTTTGAGTTGAGTCTGGAAGATTGGGTAGGACTTCATGAGGTGGTATGGAAAGCCAAGCAGTGGGGTGGGGATGAAGCAGGCCTACTAGGTAGCGGGAAGTGCCCGTGTTGGGGAATGTTAGGGGGAAAGAATTCAACGTGGCCAAAGAATGTCAAAGGTGCTGTGGGTTCTTGCTCTTCATTTATTTGCACTCCAATCATGGCTCCTGGCTCCCAGCTCGAGAGAGGCATCTGCCTGACCTGCAACTTTCCAGGGTGGGTCTGCCAAAGGGCCTCTAGGCCAGGCATCAAGATGTTCGTTCTGGTCCCAGGAGAAACTGCTAGATTTTACCACCAGTTGACTCGAGCATGGAGACTTTAATGACTTCTCCCAACTTCTAACGGCAGGGTGAGAAGAAAGTGAGTTCACAGATGCAATAGCTTGTGGCTCCTCATTGGCCAGAGGCCATAAGAGCATGGCTCCCTGGAATTCATCAGTCCCTGGGAACCCCTCCAGCCCTGACCTGTTCCACCCCTGGCTCTCAGCCCCATGTCTCTCTTGCGATGACTCCTGGAGTCTCCTCACCCTGACCAGCCTGGGAGATTTTAAACACAAGGACCTCATTTTCTCCTTCAAAGCTGAGCTTGACCCAGAGGCAGATTCAGCATGAAGCTAATGCTGCTTGAGTATCCGGGTCTCTCTCTAGGCCCAGGAAGGGGCCTCTGCAATGTGTTCAGGTTGTCATATCCTTGGGAAATCTGCAAAAGTAAGATGCTTTAACCACAAGCAGTTAAGATTGCTAGTTCCTTTTACTCCAGCTACTTGTGTCCCAGTTTCTCTTTATGTGAGGTGGTTGGAGGGGCCATGGGCATTTCTGGGATCTGGCTAAGGGGCAGTTGAATTGGGGATCACCTTAATTTGGGCTCATTGGGATATATTTATGTGATTCTCAGTCCCCTCTGTATATAGATAAATCATTGCTAGCTACCTCTGTATAGAGAATGGCCTCTAAGAATCTTCCTCCTCACTGTCCAACTCAGCATTGTGACATCAAGATATCATATCCAGAGGTCATCTCATAGCATGAATGTGTTTTATGCTACCTGGCCCTGGAAGTACATGGGCACTAGAGAAGAAACAGGTTTGCAGTGACAGAACCAGAAGCGAGGCTGAAGAAATTCCTTCCAATCGTCAGGGGGGAAAATGTATTTTAGAGGTGTGCACGAGAGTTAGTAAAAAGTATGCTATTTTCCTGAATTGTGTGATGTATTTTTTTTACTTCTTTTCTCATTATAGGTAAATTTTCACTCTTTCTTACCAATTTTGTGTTCTTTTCTCTTTTAAAGAGGGCTCCCCAAAGTTTATAAGCTTCGATTTGCACAAAACCCTGGCTTCACCATTTATGTTCTGTCTGATCTTGGCAAGTTGCTTAATTTTTCTGAACTGTTTCCTTTTCTGTAAAACGTGAATGACAATTTGGACAGGTGAAGCCTCACAAACTTCATGACCTGATCCCATTTCTGAAACCATGACTAGAGGAAGTAACCCAGTCAAATGAAAATTAGACCAGAATATACAGACAGGGAAAGATGTCATATATAAGAAATAATAGTGAATAATGAATCCGGTAAAACTTAAATCTAAATAGCTGGAAGTAATGTGGTTGTTGCAAACTCTAATGCAGTTTGTAAGAAAGGAATTTTGTAATAGAAGAGACATTATGCAAGAACAAATTTAATAATAAGCTGTATCTATAACTCCAAATTATTTCTGCAAAACCTGGGAAAAGGAATATAAAACGTAAACAGCCTCCTCTTGTTGGAGGAGAATTTGAAATTCTTGGCATTGATAACAGGCTCAGATAGATGTTAAACATTTAAAGATACCAGCCAATAGAATCAAAATGGGAGTGAGAACTTCTGTACCTTCCCCTTCGTCTTTCACATGGGAGAGCCTCAAAGCCCTGCCACAGGGAGATGCTCAGAGGGTCAGAGCTGCATTGCCCTCCTGCCCCCCACCTGCCTCCCAGCTTCTCCCCTGCCTCCAGCACAGGGCTTGGGAAGCTGCTGCTGACAGATCTGCCTCTTGCCTCCCAAGCAGCAGGTCCCAGCCAGGTCAGGTATGTGGTGGCAACAGAATGGGCTGGAGTAGATGGGGGAAACTCTCTCCCCCTCTCAGGGAGATAACCAGGCCAGATAAGACTAGCCATAAAACAAGACAAGGCCACTGAAGATAAGGACCAGTTGGTTCAGACACAAGCATTCCACAGACCTGCTCATTACATAGAGCCTGACATTAACAAGTCCCAGCATTCTAGGCCTGCGCCTTACAAAGAACAGGTGCTTACACCAACTCAGGCATCACAGAGAACCAGATGTTACCCCCCAAAACATGGTTATCACAGAACCAGGCATCTATACAGCCCCAGGCCACAAAGAGTTAGGCACCAGGAAGGAAATGTTGAAATTAGGATCTAGTCACAAAAGTAACAGTGACTTTGGTGGGCCCTGGTCAGAGTGAAATCTTGGCAATGCATAAGTACCAGTGAATGTGTGCAGAGTGTGTTTGGTCTTTGAAGTCAGAAAATGCCCAAGTGTGGGACCTGGGTCTCCCTCCCCACTGGAGCCCTGAAGGCAGAGACTAGGCCACACCCAGACTGTGGTTCCCTGAGGGCAAGGACTGGGACTTCCTGAGTCCAGAGAGCGAGCCTCCGCCTCAGCTAACTCCCCAGGGGCCCTCACACCAGGTTTGCTGGAGGCCCCGACCAGCCTGGATGTCTTGTGAGGCCCGCTCCCTCCCTAGTAGGTCCCGCTCAGAGTTCAGGGCTCTGCCTCCAGGGGGCGCCAAATGGACACTTCTTGCCGGAGGCTGTCCTGGCCCCACCTCCAGGCTGAGTGGGGCTGGAGATGAGACTTGAGTCCATACTGACCACACAGATGGTCATAGCTGGAAGAGGCCTGAAAGCTGGCAAGTCCATTTCCACCTGACAGAGGTGGTGGCTGAGGCCCAGAGAGGGTGCTCCTGGTGAGTGGCAAAGCTAGACTAGGACCAGGTGTGCAGGGCAGCCTGGCCTACTGTTGTCTACTTCTGTATCTTAGGACCTGGGAGAAAGATATGCAGTCCTTCCACCAGGAAAGCCTGGTCAGGTCAGCCTGTCTGGCTGGGGGAGGAAGGGGGAAGACCATCTTGCGTTAGAAGTGGCCAACACACCAAAACCCTAGACAACTCTTTGGTTCAGATGAGTCACAAAAGCCCAGAGAGGGTCAAACTTGCTCAAAGTTACATAGCAAGTTAGCAGAGGAGTCTGAATTAGAAAATGGGGTTCCTGACACCCAATATTGGGCAAAGAGCCCAGAGGAGGTATTCCCAGTGGCAGCCACTCTGGGACCAGCTCACGCTCTGAATTCCTCAGGCTTCTTTTCTGGCCCTGACACTAATGGCTGCTGTTGCTGTAGGCCAGGGATGGATACGGTGACCTGGGTCCTCTCCTCTTTGTCCTGCTGCCTTAGGATGGCCAAAATCAAGGCAAAGCAGGCCAGGGAGCCTGTCTTGAAGAAGAACTGGAGGCCGACAAACCTGGAAAAGAGCAAGGGACCTGTCAACTCAGGACCTCCCTTGTCTAGGGCTTGGATGGCCTTGGCCTGGGGCAGAGTAGGGTCAGCAATCATCACCCATTGTGTGATCAGAGACATTGAGACCTTGCGGGTGGAAAAGAGGCTTCCAGCCCCAGGGCAATGGACCCTATCACCATGGCCTTGGTTGGGGAGATGGGGAAGCCCCTGGAATTAGCCCCTTCCCTGGAAAAGGGGGAGATGCTCTGCAGAAGGAGTCCTGAACAGGGAGGCAGAAGCCTGGGCATCCTCCCTGCCCTGTCCCCAGCTGGCTTATAGCCTGGGACAGTCCTCTCTGTCTAAGGGCTCAGGGGGCCTGATAGTTGCAACTTGGGATCACCCCACCGGCCACAAGAGGATTCCCTCTCCACTCTTTCCCTAACTCACCAAAGCTCTTATTTGATCTTTCTTCCTATAGAATGGGCACTAGTCAGTCCCAGCCCACAGGAGCCATGCCCTCCTCAGAGCTGGAAGTGACCAACTCCCCGCTCCCAGCCCTGTTAGCAAGTCCCCTTCAACCGCCTATCCCATCCCAGCAGCTCTCTGCCTTCAGGTTTCTTTGGGTTCCCCATTGCACAGATGGGAAGACTGAGTTCCAGAAAAGACAGGTCTCCCAATGAAAGAGACAGAGCTGGGCTGGATCCCAAGCCTCCTGTGTCCTAAATTGGCCTTCTCCCAACCCCACCTCAACTCCCCATCTTTCTCACAGCTGGGCTGCTCCCCTAATCCTCCCCCATGGTCCGCCACGGTGACACATGTTCCTGCACAGACCATGGTTAGACCATTTGAGTTTGAGGCCCAGCTTTGTGTGTTATCAGTTGTGTGACCTTGGGCTACTTTAATGGGTCACTTTCCTCATCCAGAAGAGTGGGGGGACAGTGGCCAGCTCACAGGACTGGTGAGCTCAGTACTGGATATAGCACCTGCTGCCTAGCAGGGGGATATCAATGGGCCTCTCGTCCCTGCTGCTGTCCCAGCTGAGACCCCAAGAGTATTTCCAGCAGCCTCCCCATGGGGGCCCCTGGCACCCCCCACCTCAGGTCTCACCGGTTTCGGAGCAGGTCGTGGTCATAGTAGCGACAAACGGCCCGCCGCCCACAGCTCTGGGCCCAGTACACACAGGTGGTGTCGATGGCGCTGCCGTGGATCACTGGGCTGGGCATCCAGGCTGGAGGAGGACATGCTCAGGGGACAACAGGCCTGG